GACAGGAATTAAACTACAGAAGTAAAACTGCAAAAGTTAAACTACAGGGATTACAATCTTTATGAAAATGCAGAATGAGAGCTGACTCTGGTGAAGAAGATGAAAATTAGTTATTAAAGCTAAAGTAAAAAAAAACACTAGATACAAGCTAAAAGGGGCAAAGTGTTAGCTGAAAAAGCTAAATGCCAGATACATGCTAAAAAAGCAAAAGGCTAGCAAAATCTTAAAAGCAGAAAATGCTTAAAAGCCAGCTAAACATTAAATGTAACAAAAACTAGTTAAAAGTATCAAAACATTTGCCAAAAGCTAAAGTAGCAAAACTAGCTAAACACTCAATTTAAAAAAATATATTACCTGACAAATAAAAGAAGCTAAATAGTAGCTAAAATAACAGAAGACTAGCTAAAGATAAAGTACCAAAGTTTAGCTAAAAGCATCAAAAACCTTTGATAAAAGCTAATAGTAGTAAAAACCTAGCTAAATGCTAAAAGTAGCAAAAGATTATCTGAAAGACAAAAGCAAAGTACCGGAAGAAGTTAAAGTAGCAGAAAATGAACTGAAAACTGAAGCAGTAACAGACTAACTAAAAGCATGAAAAGGCTAGCCAGAATTTGAAAAAGAAGAAGATGCTATCTCAAAGTAGCAAAAAGCTAGTTGAGAGCAAAATTAGAAAAAAAAAAGGATAACCTAAAAATAATCAAATGTTATCTAAAAGTAGCAAAAACTAATGAAAAGTAGCAAAAAGCTGGTAAAAATATAAAAGTAGCAAAAGGCTAGCAAAAGTAGCAAATAGTTGATTAAAAGCTAAAAGATTTAAAGACTAACAATATCTAAATGTAGCAAAACCCCAGCTACAAGCTAAAAGTAGCATAAGAAGACACAAATAAAACCAGTAGCTGCAGCAGCAGAACAGTGTTTCTACATTAACTGAAGAGATCTTTGTGTATTTGTATGCGGAAAATATTTGTAAATAAAGTTATTGAAAAGTAGAAAAGTTACAAAAATCAATTCAGAGCACTCATCGCCTGAATGAACCTAACATTTTGGTATAAAAACGGCTAAAATAGCACAAAGTATACGGGAGTTAAAAAATGCTCAGACAATTTAAAAAAAAAAGAGAGAAAAACAACGGAAGGGCGGCACGGTGGTGCAGTTGGTAGAGCTGTTGCCTCTTGGTGAGAAGGCCGGTGGTTCAAATCCCGGCCGGGGACCTTTCTGGGTGGAGTTTGCATGTTCTCTCCGTGCATGTGTGGGTTTTCTCCAGGTACTCCGGTTTCCTCCCACAGACCAAAAACATGCATGTTGGGCTGATTGGTAACTCTAAATTGTCCCTAGGTGTGAGTGAGAGAGTGAATGCTTGTTTGTCTCATTTGTCTCTATGTGTCCCTGTGATGGACTGGAGACCTGACCAGGGTGTCCCCCGTCTCTCGCACAGCGACTGCTGGATGTGGGCACCAGTGACCCACGCAACCCGAAAAAGGAAGACGCAGGTAAAGATAATGGATGCAAGGATGGAAAACAACAGAGTGAATGCTGACTCAGCATTCACACAATAAAATCAGTGGAAATCTGCTGAAGAGATCTGGTTAACAAATATATCACTGGGGCCTAATAGGTTTCATGATGATCAAAACTGGCACATTACTGGTAATCAGTTCAAGTTGGATCAGGTTTACATCAACGATCCATCATCCATCCAACAGCCATCATCTCCTATTAGCAGCATGCTAATAAAGAGGAATTGTTATTTGTTATTGTGTTGAAATCAAAAGAACGTCTACTCACATTCATTATTTAAAATAAATGTGACTGTTCTGTTAATAGGATCTTAGAGAGGATCTTAGATCATTAGGACAAACATCAATCCTTCATTCATGTTGAGCTACAAACACAAATCATGCTGAACAAGGTATCCACAAAACAGCAGAAATGTGTGTTTTAACCAACTGCACTCCAGGAAACACAATTTAAGTGTTTGAATCATGCAGTGGTTTTATCTTGAACGTGATGCTTTCAGTTAATGTTCAACAGTCATAACAGGAAGGTGTTGTTGCATTAAAGCAATAATATGAGCAGCTAAAGCAACAAGATACTTAAATCTAACCAAGCCAAATAGGTCAGTGGTATTGCATTAAATTTTGCAAAGAAATATTAAAAAAAATTCAAAAGCAAAAGTCCAAAATATACATATATTAACATATATTACTGCTATCCTATGGATGGGTACAAACAGAAAGAATCAGAAAGGAGCCACAAGCAGAACCTCTTAGGGATAATTTCTGTAAATTTACCAAACAATCTGGTTCCAAAGAAGAATTTAGGTTAGGGTCAGGACCCCGATCCTCCACTTGAGGACCCCTAACCTAGCTCAAAGTATATTATTTTTTTTACCGAATAAAAAGTGTCCAAAGGTGCTTTCCATAGTTGCACAAAGGCCAAAATGTGATATTGTTAAACAAACTTGGAGCATTGTCTCTTTGTGCTTTGGTAAACTCTGCTGCCATTGAGCTTCAAATAATAAAGTTGTTTACACATAAACAACCAATTTTAACTGAACTTAAGTCTGTTCACAGGGCACCAATACACAACAAAAGTTACCTCAGGTCAAAATACAAAGAAGCCCAAATCATGAATCCAAATTTAGCTGCAAACAGATCCAGGAACCAACTGTGTTAAATATATCTAGCATTTTTTTGGAAATCAACTGCAACCATTACTACAGGTCTTCCCCCCCCCACAAAAAATATAATCCAAGCATGAAATAACACAACATAACCTCATATTTGCTTTATAAAACAAACATCTCGATGTCAAGCCTCCTGTCTGAAACTAACAATGCAGTTTAAACAAAAATGCAATCGTCCATCTTTTGGTTTGCCTGTTAAATTCAAAAACGTTGGTAAAAACTTGAGAAAAAAGTGGATTTGTTGCACAAGTTGGATCTGATTGTGCATCAAAAACTACACACATATCCACCTGTCTCAACCACAAACCATAAACTACAATCTAACATTAACATCACAACCAAACTTCACTGAAACTGATTTTCACACCAATTTACACCTAAAAATCCATTACAGTAACGTGAAATCTGATTGTTGATTATTTAATCTTGAATGCAATGTTTCAAGTTAAAGTTAGCGATCAAAAAAATCAAGTTCTGTTAAAATAAAACAACAATATGATATAAAAAGCAACTTAAAAGTGCTAATTGCACCCAACGTAACCACCTAGCTTCAAATGCTAGTTCATTTTCTGAATAAAGTGTCCCAAGGTGCTTTCGGTAGTTGCACATGTGCATTAGTTCACTATTTCTTAACAGACTTGACCTTTTTCCTTTCTTTATTCACAAATCTCTTGAATCCTTTGCCATCTAATGTCAAATAATGTGTATTTGTTTACATTTAGGCAGCTAACACAACACACAGAAACTGACACAACTAAGGTATATTTATGTAACATGTTAATTTTTAGAGCATAAATCAAACTACAATCATAATCATCTTTCCTATCAACAAAAATAAAACGTTAGACATATCTACTTGTAGCTAGTTTTATAAAGCAAAATCCCAATAAGAATCCTGATTTTATATCAGTTTAAACATAAACTTTACTGTTGTTTGATTTACACCATTGTGTTGTCTTGAATGTAAAAAATTTAGATATTAATAGAAAAGGCAGATTTTGTCATGACAAACAATACAAAAGTCAACTAAAAAGTGTTAATTAAAACAAACTTCACCACCTAGCTTAAATGCTATTCCGTTTTCTGAATAATACATGTCCTAAAGTGCTTTCCGTAGTTGCACTATTTTTAACCAAACTTGACCTTTTTATTATTATTACTCCTAAATCTCTTACATCCTTTTACCATCCAGCTTTAAATGTGTACTTGTTTACATTTAAGCAGCTAAGATTAGTAACTTTAGTAACGTTTTAATTTCAGAGCGTATATCAAACATATCCATCCACCTGTCCTACAAACACAATCGTGTAAATATGTTTCTAGACATGTTTTATAAAACTAACATCCCGATAACAATCCTCCTGTTTGAGACTGATTTTCTCTACAAAATAAACAGAAAACTTCATCCTCCATCTTGGTTGTTTTCCAATAAAACTTTTGGTAAAAACTTGAGGAAAAAGTGCATTAATTTCCTTCTAAAGTGGTCTGAGTGTGTCTGTTCAGCAGTGAAGGTGCTTGAGGGACGGATTTAAAAATAACCAAGATGGCGAGAGGCTTGTTGTTTCGGAAGGGGGGCAGAAAAAATGGAGGATATTGTAATTTACACAAAGGGATAAATTTCAACAACTCGGCCGCGCGGCGGCTGCAGCTAGCTCGTGTCGGTTTGAGGAAGCGCCCGCGCGGTGATAGCACGAGCGGCACCCCGGCGGTCGGGCTGTGGCCACCGAACACGAGAAAAAAAAATAAAAACAACTCCGAAACACCGAGGAAACTCGAACCGAGCTTCACATTGACCCGAACCGACGTGAACCGTTTATTTTTATTTTGTTAAGTTTTATTTTCGCGTCGAGGGACCGTTAAAGTGGACGGACAGCGGCGCGAGGACCAACGGCAGTCCGGTGCCTCGCAGCCAACTCGACCCCCTCCTCCTGCTCCTCTCGCCGCCTCTCTCTCGCTCCCCTCGGTTACATCCAGCACGAAAATCCGCTCCGAAAACACGACAACTTAGACGTTTATTACCACCGTTTAAAAAAACGGTAAAAAGTTTAGATAATTAAACCGTAAAATACTACTTATGGAGCCCAGAGTAGAGAGAGGACGAAGGAGGAGGAGAAAAAAAACAAGCCAGGACGCACAAAGACGATTCCCACTATCAGGTCAAATTCATTAGAAACACTTGTAAATAAAAATAAAGTTTAAACGAATGTTAGCAGCTGAGTGAATTACAACGAAAAGAAAGTAAAACACAAAGCGAACCGAAGCCAGCTCACCGCTTCAGTCTGATGGGGCGAAAAAGAGAAATAAAAACACTTACCTTTATCCTTTTCTCTCTTTTTATAGTTTCGATACTTCACTTTATTTCCAGATCGCGTTTGGTTTTCATTTAGATCAACTAACACTTCTTGTCGCCTCAGTTTTATTCTTCCCCTGGTCGGTTTTGGTTCTGAAAGAAGAGGTCGAATGATAAAGAAGGGAATTGGGCAGTAATTGAGTCTCGGTGTGTGTGTGTGTTAGTTACTAACAGCAGATTGAAGGAGACTCCTCAGGTTTATTCAGCTCCACTTCAAGAACCGACCTGACGTCAGCTCACTGCTGCCACACAAAGAAAACTTCACATTTCTGCAGCGCAGCAAATACAAGGAATACGGTAATTGACCGCTATTACCTTAAACGTGACATTATTAATATTAGCTCCACAGGACTGACAACAAATAGAGCCAACTGTCCTTCAAAATAAGATATTGTCCCACATTTGAAGCTAAATTGAAGCCCATTTAAACTGGCATAGCTATAAATAGTAAAATTCTAGTTAAAGGCTAAAGTAGCAGAATGCTAGCCTAAAGCTAAAAAACAGCAAATGGCTAGTCATGAGTCACAAAAGACAAGCTAACGGCAAAAGTAAAAAAAAATGGCTAGCCAAAACTTTAAATAAGAAAACACTAGGCTATGGTGAGTGCTTTTGGACTGAAGTAGCAAAAAGCTAGCTAAAAGTTAAAAATAGCACAAAACTTGCTAATAGCCAAAATAGCAGTCAAAAGCTTAAATTAAATGCTAGCGACAAGTCACAAAAGACTAGCTAACAGCTAAATTAGCAAAATGGTAGCCAAGAGTTAAAAGTACGAATAATTTGTCAAACATTAAAAGTAGCAAAATGCTAGTTATGAGTTGCAAAAGACCAGCTAACAACTCAAGTAGCAAAAGACTAGCCAAATGTCAAAAGTAGCTAAATGCTTGCTATGAAATGCAAAAGGCTAGCTAACAGCTGAAGCATTAAGTCTATCCAAATGGTAAAAGTAGTGAAATGATAGCAACAAGTTGCAAAAGACTAGCTTACGGCTAAAGTACATAAAGCTAGTTTTAAGTAAAAAGTGGCAACAGGCTACATGGTTAAAAGCTTCTTCTTTCGGCTGCTTCCTTCTTCAGGGGTCGCCACAGCAAACTAAGTTGCATGAAGACGTGGCAATTATTTTTATGCCGGATGCCCTTCCTGATGCAGTCACAGACCACCGAACTACCACAGCCCTCTGTGTGGAGCAGAGAGCTGCTATCAAGGGCGCCCGGGGGAGCAGATGGTGGGGGTTAAGGTCCTTGCTCAAGGGTCCAGAGTGGAGCAAATGAGCGTGGAGGCAGGTGTGGATGCTTCACGTTTCCCACCCACATTTTGATGTTGTCGGTACCGGGAGTTGAACCGCGATCTTCTGATCACAGGCCCACCTTCTCTAACCTCTGTGCCACCACTCCCCTTAAAGATTAAAAGCTAAAAGAAGTAAAACATAAGTTAAAGCCCAAAAGTAGTAACGTATTTCTGCTCTACTTCAAGAACCGACCTGACGTCAGCTCACTGCTGCCACACAAAGAAAACTTCACATTTCTGCAGCGACGCAAATATAAGAATATGGTAATTGACCGCTATTACCTTGAACGTGACATTATTAATATTAGCTCCACAGGACTGACAAAACATGGAGCCACCTGTCCTTCAAAAATAAAACAGTGTCCCCTATTTGAAGCTAAACTGAAACCTATTATCTAAACTGACGCATAGCTATAAATAGCTAAATACTAGTTAAAGGCTAAAGTAGCAAAACGCTAGCTAAAACTTAAAGTAGCAAATGGCTAACCACGAATCACAAAGGACATGCTAACAGCTAAACAAAAAAAAGGCTACTAATTAAATTACGTGAAAACCTAGCTAAAGCCTTAAATAAGAAAACACTAGCTATGACTACCCAAAAGAATAGTTTTTAGGTTGAAGAAGCAAAAAGTTAGCCAAAAGTTAAAAGTAGCAGAAGACTAGCTAACCGCCAAAAGAGCAGAAGGCTAGTTGAAAGTGAAAAGTAATTTGAGTCACGGGGTTCGCTGGTGCCCATGTCCAGCCATCACTGTGCAAGAGGCAGGGGACACCCTGGACAGGTCTCAAGTCCATCACAGGGACACATAGAGACAAACAACCATTCACTCACACACCTAGATTCGGAGTACCTGGAGAAAATCCACACATGCATGGAGAGATCATGCAAACTCCACCCAGAAAGGCCCCCCCGGACCGGGATTTGAACCAGGGTAACCTGCTCGCTGAGAGGCAGCAGCTCTACCAGTTGCGCCACCATGTTGCTCTAATCAAAATCATTAAGTAGTTATCGTAAATGCTAGCGACAAGTTAAAAAAAAAAAAAGCTAATGACTAAATTAGCAAAATGCTAGTCAAGAGTTAAAAGTAAGAAAAATTAGCAAAATGTTAAAAGTAGCAAAATGCTAGCTATGAATTGCAAAAGGCTAGCTAATGGCTGAAGTAGAAAAAATACTATCCAAATGCTAAAAGTATTGAAACACTAGCTACCAGTCGCAAAAGACTAGCTAACAACTAAATTAGCAAAACACTAGCCAAACGCTAAAATAATTAAAATGCTAGTTGTGAGCTGGAAAAGGTTGAATGGCTGAAGTAGCAAAAGACTATCCAAATGTTAAAAGTAGTGAAATATTAGCTATGAGATGCTAGCTAACTGTCTGTCAGGGGATTTTTGGTCAAGGTCAAGGATGTTCATCACTACAAACGTTAATGTTGAACCATGTGTATGAGTTTGTGTGAATTGTATAAAAACAATTCTCGCAGTGCAGATTCTCGCGACCAGGCTCCAGTGATGTAGAACTTTTGTGCATCTGTGTAAACCTGTGGGTTAAAGTCTGCCTTTGCAAATAAAACCGGTTAAAACCGGTCTCTTGTAAATGAGTCCTCGAGGCTCAGTGGGATTAACCTGTCTAAATAAAGGTTGAATGAAAAATGTCTTCTCATGTCCTCGAGTTTGGCTTCTTTGAGTAAGTAAGATGAATAGAGAATATTTTTTATCAAACACAGTCAAAGTAGCAAAAAGCTTAAACTAGCTAAAGACTAGCTAACAGCTGAAGAAGCAAAAGACTAGTAGCTAACGACCAAAAGTAAAAGCTACTCAAAAGCTGAAACTAACAAAATGCTAGCTACAAGTTGAAAAGACTAGCTAATCGCTAAATCAACAAAAGACTAGTCAAGCGTTAAAAGTGGCAACAATGCTAGCTATGAGTTTCAAAGACTAATACCTAAAGTAGCAAAAAGCTTGTTGAAAGTAAAAAGACTGTCCAAAAACTAAAAGTGCAAATTGCTAGATATGAGTTGCAAAATGCTGCCTAACAGCTAAAGTAGCAAAAAGCTAGTTCATCGTTAAAAGGAGCAAAAAGCTGGTTAAAAGCAAACGAAAAGAAAAACACAAGTTAAAACCCAAAAGTAGCCATGTTGTTTCAGCTCTACTTCAAGAACCAACCTAACGTCATGCCACACAAAGAAAATGACACATTTCTGCAGCACTGACAAAAAATTGAGCCAACACACCTGTTATTGACACCTATTACCTACATTGACACAAAGAGCAAAAAACTAGCTATAAGCTAAAGTGGAAATTAAGGCTAGCTGAATTTTAAAAGAAGAAAATCAGCTAGCCAAAACTAAAGAGAATGCTAGCCATTTCATAGTCATTTCCTTTATTTGGCCATACTTAAAACCACATAGAGATCATGGTCACATTTGCAAGAGGGGCCTGGACAAAAAGTAAACAGCAAGATATAAGGGCCTAAGGACTAGTTTAAGGCTAAAATAGCAAAAAGCTAGCCCATAGCGAAAAGCACCAAAAATCACAAAAGACAAACTGAAACTCCTTGAGCACTTACATAGCTGCCCACTGCTCCACCTGGGTGTAGCTCAGGGATGATGGGTTAAATGCACAGAACTAATTTCACCACTGTATGGGAACATACAATGATGACAATCTCAAAATTCCCTTCCCAAAAAAAATAACTAACAACCAGAAGAGCAGAATGCTAGTTGAAAGTTAAAACTAGCAAAAAGCTAGCCAAATGTCAAAAGTAGCCAAAGGCTAGTCAAAAATAGCTAAAGACTAGCTTATGGCTAAAGTAACAAAAGTCTAGGAAAATCAAATCTGGGTAGCAAACGGCTTGCTCAATGCTAAAGTAGCAAAGGGTAAGCTAAAACCTAAAAACAAAATAACTTGGCCACTATTGGAAGTAAAATTAACAAATTGTATTTAAATTGACAATTAGCTATAAGTTGGGAAAGACTAGAAAAAAGATATCCATTGATCTGTAAATCAAGATAAAAGTTACAAAATGCTTAAAGGAGCTAAATGCTAGCTTTTAGTAGCAAAAGTTTAGCTTAAGACTAAGGTAGCAAAAGGTTAGTTGAAAGGTAAAAGTGTCAAAAGGCCAGCAAAAAAATAAAAGTAAAACGCACGCTAAAAGCGAAAAGTAGCAAACGACTTGCCAAAGACTAAAAGTAGGAAAATGCTAGCTATGAATAGCAAAAGACTAGCTAAATGCTAAATGAAATTTAAAGGTAGCAAAGGGCTTACTGAAAGTAGCAAAATATTAGCTAAAAGTATTAAAACACTAAATAAAAGCTACATTTTGCTATATGATAGCTAAAAGCTACATATAGCAACAAGATAAAAACTAAATAGCTTATAGATAAAGGTAAAAAAAATAAAAGGCTAGCTAAAAGTAACAAAATGCTATACGAAATGAGCTAAACACTAGCTACAAATACAAGCTTAGCTAAAAGGAGCTAAATTGACAGATTCTTGTTTGTATTTCAGACTCTTCTAACACAGGCGTGGTTTGTTTGTTAGCTAAACGTTCAGTTGTTTACAGGTTCCTGTATGACATCACTCCTAGTAGAAGTGTCTCCAAGCTGAAGACATTGGGACAAAGAAAAGTCCTCCTGTCCTCCAGCTCCACCTGGTCCACTCAGTGTTCCTGATTCAGTTTCTGAACTTCAGTGACCCTAACGTAGCTGTCAGTTCATTCATGATCCTGTTTGTTTGTTTGTTTATGGCATCTCAACTGTTTTAAACTAATAGATTATTTTTCTTTGAACTTTTAAAGATCCTCATCGCAAAGTATGACAAAGTTTTGGTCAAACGTTGGAAACATTATGTGAGAACGTGAGGAAAACCTAACATCATCAGA